CACTTGTGTCAAACTGTCACAAAAATAGATGTGTCTGCCATTTTCATAACATAAAAACTGGTAAAAAGTGGGGAGACTAAGAAGTCGCATTTAATCAACGGGTAGTGTTGTCAAAAAAACCATTTAGTAAATTCAACTACAAGGAACTAAACGCTGTTTACTAACAGCGAATATCAATAAAGTTATCCTAACAATATTTTTGCCTACTAAACGCGTTTTGTAGCCATCACTGTAATTCTTCTCACCGTGTACTCACCGCTTGGGCTAAACTATGTGCAAGTTACAGCCCGATCCGATCAACTTTTTTTTCACTCAGTACACTACAGGAATTTTACCCAATATATAGAACCCAGTTGTAACTGAAGCAGATCATTTTTTGGAAACTGATGCTGTTATTGATATACTATCATTGTATATGAATAATGGAGAAACTCCTATGAGTTCAACAGAGAACACTTGGGAAAAAGAATTAGTATTGTATAATTTGGGAGGCCGTGCTCCTTCGAATACTGACGACTTAAAATGGTGGAAGGACCATGAAATGCAGTTTCCGAAACTTGCTCGCATGGCTAGAGCTTTTTTTAGCGATTCCAACATCATCCATTTCTTCAGAACGACTTTTCTCGGGAAGCTCATTAACAATCCGGAAACATCGAAACCGATTGAACGTTTATGCAATTCGGTGCTTAATGGGGTTCAACTCCAGGGTTAACTGTTCGTTAACGCCAAAAATCAAAACTTTAATGAAAAAAAGCTGATTTTTTTGTAAAATTTCTGTTTTGTTAACTTGATGCAAGAGACAAAATATAACTAAATATTTAAATAAAATAATGTTTTATTAATTGGAACCACTGTGCACCAGAAGGTGCATGCTAAATTAATTTTGCCGATGCCTTAATTCAAAGTTAGGGATGCCAATATTAATTTTTGTATGACCTTATAGTGACTGATTGAGATGCCATATTTGGTAGGATAAATTTCATAGATACCTATACCCCCACCTCTATCCTCAGGTCGATCATCTCTGTTAGAATTATATCCCGCAACTTCGAATGCATGATGTGCTGAAAGCAAGGATTCTGTAATAATAAATTTTTAAAATTTAAATAAAATCTATACTTTATATATGGGTGATTCTCCGCGTAGCACAAATTTGTTTTTTTTCATGTTGTGAAAGAAAAATCACAAATAATGTTCACATAATATTTCGATTCCAATGTAAAAAGGTAATTTCTGTGAATATAAACAAAAACCAATAGTTACTTTTGTATTTAACATTATAATTTTTCGTGAAAAGTGGTTTTTGAGGCTGAAAACGTCAAAATTTGACCTGTCCCCACAGGATGTTTTTACAAAAAAGTTAATATTTTTAGAAATGTGCACTAATAAATACAATTTCTGTTGTGTTTTAGTATTGTATATTGTAGTGGAATTGAATAAAAAAAACGTTTGATAAAAAAAATAATTATTTTCTATTTTTTTATATTTATACTTGACTGCACTTTTGTGTGTTATTCTGCGTTTTATTATTAAACATTGAATTATTTAAATAAAAGTCAAATGTTAATATAATTCTACTTCAGTAACAGCAAAAGTTATATTCCACCGACATACACCGACCCTTCAATATTTAAAAAAAAAAGAATATTATTAAATAATTAAGGTTAAATAAAGTGTAGTTATATTATTTTAGTCTATATATATCTACCTATATTACAAAAAGATATCGCCGCCAACGCCGCCGCCGCTGTTCCAAGACTCTGAATATAGCCGCAAGTCAAGAGAAGGGGGGTAGAAGAGAAGGGAGGGGGGACTTGCGGCTATATTCAGAGCCTTGAAACGATCTTAACCTTTAAATTTAGGGTAAGGAAGGGGAAAAGGAGGGGAAGAGAGGAGGGGGATGGGGGTTGGGGCGCGAAGCCGCTGCCGTCGCTGTTCCAAGACTCTGAATATAGCCGTAAGTCAAGAGAAGGGGCGTAGAAGAAAAGGGAGGGGGGACTTACGGCTATATTCAGAGTCTTGAAACGATCTTAACCTTTAAATTTGGGGTGGGGGAGGGGAAGAGAGGAGGGGGTTGGCGCGCGAAGCGCGCAGGGGGCATAGCCCCCTAGTATATATATATATATATATATATATATATATATGTGTGTGTATGTGTGAAACATATGAAACCGATTAAAAATAAATTATAATTTTCAAAAAAAAAAAAAATTATTAACGCCAGTTCCACCGGTTCCACCGACCCCAGCGTCTCCACCCGCCACAGAATTTCCACTGTCACTAGTGTAAGTTTAATACACAATGAAACAAACGAAATTAAAAATATTTATTATAAACTATCATAGCTCCGGTAAGTTTGCTATAACTTACCAAATAAATTTCAATAAATTACCGTATAAATTTCCATAAATTACCGCATAAATGACCAAAATAAAATTTTTAATTGTCGTTCGCGCTATATATATTTTTGTGAATTACCCCAAAAATTTCCATAAACATTTTAAATCAAATTTCAACTATTTTATAGAATTCAAAAAGCAAAGAATTTTTTTTTTAATTTGTTTAAAAAAATTAAAAAATTATAAAAAAATTTTTGCGGCCCACCATGGATATTTATTTTTTGACACTTTATCTTCAAAAATATGTATTGACATTTATCATTTCGATAAAAAAATATTTTTAAAGTTTCAGACACGAAATCTTGCGCTACGCGGAGGTTTTGGTTTTTTTAAAATCTTTGTATCCATTTTGAGATATTAATGTGATAAATAATCCTACACAATTTTACCCAAATCCATTAAACCCTGTTAAAGTTATCGTGTTCACAAAAAAACGGGATCCACACACATATGAGAGATTCTTTTTCAATCGCCCCAGCCCAAAAAGTCAATATTCTGGGATTGGCTTCATACTTTGGTAAATTGTTGTCCTATATGATAGTAATAAATCCCTAAAATATAAACTCATTAAAAAAATATTTGTAGAAAGTAGAGGGGGTTGAAGTTTTGACGTTAAGGGTAACATTGTCATTTTCAAATCCGTATAACTATGACAAAAGTTAATGGATTTTAATTTATCTATAATGAATTTTAATGCATTTTTCACGTACTTTTCAAAAATTTATACAAAATTTAAAAAAAAAATTTTTTGACCCCTTTTTTTTCAAAATCAACCCTTATTTTTCGATTTTCACCCCTTCGGGTATTTTTTTTTTTTTTTTAATTTTCATTGGAAAGCTGAGATTTTTTCCCATGAGCTATGTAAATATGAAAATGGGACAACAATAATTTTGTGAGAAACAGAATATTAAAGTAGGCGGTGCCGATAAGGGTGCCGTTAAGGGTAACATTGTCATTTTCAAATCCGTATAACTATAACAAAAGTTAATGGATTTTATATTATCTATAATGAATTTTAATGCATTTTTTACGTACTTTTCAAAAATGTTTACAAAAATTAAAAAAAAAAAATTTTCCCCTTTTTTTCAAAATCAACCCTTATTTTTCGATTTTCACCCCTTCGGGAATTTTTTTTTCTTTTTTTTTATTTTCATTGGAAAGCTGAGGTTTTTTCCCATCAGCTATGTAAATATGAAAATGGGACAATAATAATTTTGTGAGAAACATAATATTAAATTAGGCGGTGCCTACCTAAATCCTCGAAGATGATCTCTAGGTATACCCCTTATCGGCACCGCCTACTTTAATATTCTGTTTCTCACAAAATTATTATTGTCCCATTTTCATATTTACATAGCTCATGGGAAAAAACCTCAGCTTTCCAATGAAAATAAAAAAAAAGAAAAAAAAATTCCCGAAGGGGTGAAAATCGAAAAATAAGGGTTGATTTTGAAAAAAAGGGGAAAATTTTTTTTTTTAATTTTTGTAAACATTTTTGAAAAGTACGTAAAAAATGCATTAAAATTCATTATAGATAATATAAAATCCATTAACTTTTGTTATAGTTATACGGATTTGAAAATGACAATGTTACCCTTAACGGCACCCTTATCGGCACCGCCTACTTTAATATTCTGTTTCTCACAAAATTATTGTTGTCCCATTTTCATATTTACATAGCTCATGGGAAAAAATCTCAGCTTTCCAATGAAAATAAAAAAAAAAAAAAAATACCCGAAGGGGTGAAAATCGAAAAATAAGGGTTGATTTTGAAAAAAAAGGGGTCAAAAAATTTTTTTTTTAAATTTTGTATAAATTTTTGAAAAGTACGTGAAAAATGCATTAAAATTCATTATAGATAAATTAAAATCCATTAACTTTTGTCATAGTTATACGGATTTGAAAATGACAATGTTACCCTTAACGGCACCCTTATCGGCACCGCCTACTTTAATATTCTGTTTCTCACAAAATTATTGTTGTCCCATTTTCATATTTACATAGCTCATGGGAAAAAATCTCAGCTTTCCAATGAAAATAAAAAAAAAAAAAAAAATACCCGAAGGGGTGAAAATCGAAAAATAAGGGTTGATTTTGAAAAAAAAGGGGTCAAAAAATTTTTTTTTTTAATTTTGTATAAATTTTTGAAAAGTACGTGAAAAATGCATTAAAATTCATTATAGATAAATTAAAATCCATTAACTTTTGTCATAGTTATACGGATTTGAAAATGACAATGTTACCCTTAACGTTAAAACTTCAACCCCCTCTACTTTCTACAAATATTTTTTTAATGAGTTTATATTTTAGGGATTTATTACTATCATATAGGACAACAATTTACCAAAGTATGAAGCCAATCCCAGAATATTGACTTTTTGGGCTGGGGCGATTGAAAAAGAATCTCTCATATACTTGATCCAAAACCGTGAAGGGGGTCATTTTCGGAACTTCACCCAAGTTTTACGTTATTTTTTGCTTCTTTTCACCAAAAATTGTTTAAAAGTAAAATACCCTACGTTTAATTTTTTAAATAGTTTAAGTATAGTTGATAATTATTAGCTTTTAATGAGAATATAATTAAGAATTTCAATTTTGCAGAACATGGACGATGATTCTGTGCGTGGCATTCCAGGCTACATGGATCCAACAACATTTGTATCAAAAGTGAGTTATTTTATTTAATTAAAACTTGTAAACATTCTATAATATTTAAGCAGTTAGTTAAACTGCTTTGCCCATTAGGTAAATTTTTATAAAAGATTTATTTAAATATTAAACTTTTAAAAAAAGTCAGAGAACCAGTAATCAATTCATAGATCTTGCACTTGGTATCATTCATATAACATTAATTAAACAAACATTATTGTTGATCGATGATGTAGCTCGAATGATGATCGACTTGACGTTTAATTGTTTGGTTGAAGTAACTTAAATCTAATTGTTACATGAGTGACCGCATCCTAACCTTCCGTAACTGAAGTAACTCCTGCTAGAAATTTTAAATCTAGAGAAACTACTTTGAACTAGTGTCATATTAAGAATAAGTATTCAAAGTACATCTTTTTTTGGTTGCAATTTTTTGGTCTTCATGGGACCATTAAAGACCAAATTCATTTCAAATCAGGCAGGCTGAAAAGTGGTTTATCTAAAATTTATGGAAAAAAACTTTAAAGTGTTATAACTTTTAACCGAGGGGTTTTTTCACTCAGAAAATTAACGCAATATTTTGTTTTAACAAAACTTTAACGTTTTAATTCGAAACAAGGAAACGTTAGTAAACGTATTGCATCGCAAAGTTAGGCGAGTTTCAAGTGGATTCTTCATTGCAGAGCATTTTGTCGATGAAACGTGTGATTTCGCATAAGTCTGTAGAAGTCTGTAGGATTTCGTTGGATTTTGCAGGATTTCGTAGAGTATTCAATTTCGAACGCAAGATTTAGTGCTTCTGCACAAGAATCGTGTTTGATGTGCCAAGAAAACTAGAAACCTATTTAAAAATATTCTAAAACGTAAAAAGAAAAATTTTTTTAATCTTTTTTTTAAAATTATTTTACATTTAGTTACAATTTTTTAATTAATTAAAATTAAAACAAAAAATTTATATTAAATATAAATCTTTTAAATTCATTAATAATTTAATTTGATTTTAATTTGTTAAATTTAATTATTTCCTTAATTAATGGTATTTTAAAACATAATTATACTCATTAATGTATCTTAAGTAATAATTTTTATATATTTATTTATTTGTTAATTGTTATTAAACTAATTTTTAAATAATTTTATTCGGTTCCTATAAATTTTTGACTTATGAAATTATATAAGTTATCTTATATATATATATATAAGTTCCTAAATTTATTTAAAACAATAGCTTTCACTATTATGAATGTATATATTTTGCCTGTAGCATTCACGCACATTTTGTTCGTCTTCTGCTTCTTCTTACGCGCATTCTGTTAGATTTCGTCAGATTCCATGCAAGTCTGTCAAAGTCTGTCACTGAATACGTACGCAAAGAGCGGGCTCTGACAAAACGCTCAGCAATGCAAAGAAAGTTAAATTTTTGAGTACAAATCTCATTCAGCGTTTTACAACGTATTGATTTGTCTGGATTCACTTGACATTGCAGACATCGCATAAATTTGTAAAATTTGTCAATTAATGTTTAAATGATTTTTACGGAATCTTAAGTGAAAAACCCCTCGCTTTTAACCCTTTCCGGCAGAGTGAAATAAATATATGTCACCTTTTTGATTTCACATATTTCTTGAATATATTTTAAGTTTTTAATGTAATTATTAGTAACAATAACAATATTAGACGAATGAAACATAAATTGACGGAAAATAACCTTTAAAAAAATTCTATTGTTAATAAAATAAATTTTATAAACAAACATAAAAACTCTCAAAATTAACATTGCAACATATACTATTCTTTAATGATAATTTCCATGAAAATGAGTTTTTAAAGGTCTTTGGGCTTGCTGCTTACGCATCTAAAGTCAGATTTTAAAAATTTGCAATCTGACACCGATTTTTGAAAATTCAAAATGAAAAAAAACTGTTGAATTTAAAAAATCCAATATCATATTCGTAATCAGTGACCTTAAAAACCTCCGAGTAACAAGTTTAAGGCAAATCCGATCAATTTTTGATTTTGTCCTCAACCATATTGGATCCGCCATTTTGAATTTTCAAAAACTGCCATCGGATTCGAAATCAGCGACCCCGAAACCCCGGAGTAATCAGTTTCGAGCGGATTTGATCAATTTAAAAAAAAGTCCGTCATATTGGATCTGCCATATTGAATTTTGAAAATGTGAAAAATCTGACTTAAGATTCGTAATCAGCGACCCTTAAAATTCCCTACCGTGCTCTGGAGCGATAAATTTCTGTTAATGAAAAATGTATGCTTTAAAGGGTTAAAGTAATTTACATGTCTCATTTTTTCTTTTTGCATTTGAAAGAGCTTTCATTTTTCTTTTAAAATCAGTTGTAAAAATTAAAAAATGTTCAAAAATAACAAAATGGAGACCAAACGATTTCCTTATTAAACTGATTAATTAGGCGCTGACTTTTTCCTGGATCACAACGCTGACAATCGGGTCCTTCTGCATTTCATATGAGGAATTCATTTTAGAAAAAACTGCCAGAACACAGGTTCATGACCAGAAAATACTTAAAACCTGAAGTAATACAAGAGGGGCGAGACGCAAATAGACATAATGCTACATTACAAAATAACCATGATAACGTCAGGATCAATACCTAGAGTTTCCATTAATTTAAATAATTTAAACTTATTGTATTCACATAAATTCTTTTACCAGTCGTCCAAGTTTCATTGAAACCAAAAAACTATAGGAAGAATTTTAATTTTTTGAACATAATTATTTTGACCCTAACTATAAATATTTTTTAACCCCTTTAGCAACTTCGCATAAAGATAAAAATGTTTTACTATGTTTACAAATTAATATATGTAAAAAAATATTTGTTGTTTATTTTAGGTAACTGTGAAAACTTTATACGATTATAAAGCAAGAAGTGATAGTGAACTCTCATTTGGCAAACATGTTGTAATAACGAACGTAAATCGGCAAAGTGGAGGTTGGTGGAGAGGAGATTATGGAAGTAAAAAACAACATTGGTTTCCTGCCAGTTATGTCGAAGAATTAGATTGTAAAGAACCACAAAGTGATGTGAGTATGTTCAATAAATTATGATTGGTCATAAAAAATATATATATAACATTATAAATACATTTTTATTGAATTTGAACTTTATATAATTTCATTTTATACAAATTAAAGAAAATTACATCTCATTCATAAATTAATTCTTTTTATCCAATAAAATTATTTATCCATAAATGTTCACAAATTTTTAGATGCGTAAAATAAGTATTTTTGAATACCGAATGCTATTTAAGACCTATATTATCGGTTATATTTCAGTCATCAGATTCAATGATGCTTGGAAATTTACACAAAGGTTCATTAGACCTTATGGGTGCTGTAGTTGAATTATCTGTTGGAGAAAATCCTGGCTTAGAATGGATTTTAAGAATACAAAATTCTAATTTGTATTCCGTCTTTGAAGCTGCGTCTCCTTCAAAGGAATCTGCTGTAGAATGGATGACTAAAATCCAAGAAGCAGTTCAAAGTGCAAGTCTTAGGGTAATAATATTTTGTGTTTAGTTTAGGTTTTAAAAAAATGTATTATTGTTAACTATTAATTATAATATATTAATATTAAAATATTAAATAAAAAAATTATAATTTAGATAATTGGAAACTAAGGACCTTCAAATTTTTATATGTATTTTAGAAAAATCAACATAAACAAATGGAACGAGCATGGAGAATTGCTAAGGAAATGTCAAATCTTATAGTTTATTGTCGTTCAGTAGCATTCAATATTGATAGACTTAAAGCCAAGGGCTTTGTGTTTTATGAAATGAGCAGTTTTCCTGAAACTAAGGCTGAAAAACTTATTTGCCAACAAGAAATTAAATTTTTTATTAAATACCATCAGGTAAGAAAATCTCTATCTAGCACCGTTGATTATGAGTTATAAAATTTATAATGTTGCGTCTCATGAAAGCTCATTGTGAATTTTATCTCTCGGGTATTTACCAATAAGTTAATTATAATGTCGATTACTATCAGAAAATTCTTCTAGTGACGCAACGATACATTTTTCACAGGTCAAATAGTCTAGCGGAGGATATGATTGGCACAAGTAATTGATACACAAAATTATTAAAGAACAATAACAATATTAATTTATTAATTATAAAAATACATATATTCCAACAAAAACATTTTTGATGCAAAAAGTTACGCCAAGCAAAAATTATCTTAACCATCGAAACAATTCGTGAAATGAATGTTAGCCAAGTAAATTTTAAGATTCTGTTAAGTTTTAATTAATTTTTTTAATATAAATAATTAAATTTAAAAATGGGAAATTATACAAATTATAATTTTAAAATATGCTACGTAGAAAAAAAGAATAGTTTTGATCTAAATATGTATTAGAGTTAATAATTATCAAAATAATTAATTGAAATCAATTTTTCGATTAAGAAAAATTTCTATCGTACGCGCAGTTATGAAAACTTAGCGTGAATTATTTTTTTACATATACTACTGCAAGTGCTTTTTTTAAAATTACCTATAATTTGTATAATTTCCCATTTTTAAATTTAATTATTTATATTAAAAATGTTAATTAAAACTTACCAGAATCTTAAAATTCACTTGGCTAACATTCATTTCACGAATTGTTTCGATGGTTAAGATAATTTTTGCTTGGCGTAACTTTTTGCATCAAAGATGTTTTTGTTGAAATTTTAAAACTTTTTGTAAGTATCATTTAATGTCATGATTCAGTGATGAATCAGCTAAGAAGCATGTCTCTATCGGAGCTGTATTTTTATGAATTTCAGATTTAAACAGTCGGATCAGGTGCCGCGTATAACATTTTAATAAGTTAGTAAAGAAGTAAAGAAAGTTAGTAAAGAAAGAAGAAACAAAAAAATAACAAAAAAACTTTACAAACATAATATTATCAAACAGAAAAAAAATTTACTAGCAAAAGTTACTAAAAAAATTACCATAAAAAGTTAAACAAGGAGAGGGTCCTTTATGTTTATTTCATAAACATTTTGCTTCTTCATTGTGTGAAGTAAAAAATTTGTTTCATCGTAGAAAAAGCAATGATTTTCTCTAATTCAATTGACTGATTTAAAACATTTCGAGTTGAAAACTGTTTAAAATTTTTTGAAAAATTAAGAAAATTTTAATTAATTTTGGGTGTAACATATACTCTATATATTACGAATCGATTCGTTTTAATACAAGGAATACAATTATTTTATGGAATAACTTGAATTTAAATAAACACAACAGTTTTTAGCTAAATTATGAATTTTTGATTTTTCAATGTTCATTAATTCTTCAAATTTAAATCAAATCTATACTTTATATATGCCAATCGATTCGTCTTGACGTAAGGAAGACGATTTTATTATATGCCACCTTAAATTTTTCTATTTAAAAATTTTTTCAATTAAAAAAAAATTTTTGAAAAAAGACGATAAAATTTTTTTGGGGGTATTTTTAAAAATCCTCTCGTCATTTTTTAAGACAAATGTGATAAATAAGCCTATCAAATTTTACCCAAATCCATTAAAACCTGTTAAAGATATCGTGTTCACAAAAAGATCCACACACATACGTCTGGAAAATTGAGCAGGATCTCATATAACATATTTCTTTATAAAGGAAAATTTGTTTTCACCATTTTTAAAAATTTTATAAACGAAAAGACTACAAACATAAAAGACTACTTAACATAATTGATATTATTGATAAGTTTCATGGAAATCGGTAAAGAATTATGAGACCCAAGTCTACCTACGAATCAAGCAAAATTTTTTTTTCATAAAAAATAAAAAATTTAAAAAATTTTTAAGTGTACAGAAATTTCCTAAAATGTATATCGAGATTATAACGTAATTAATATTATTTGTAAGTTTCATGCCAATCCGTTAAATTGTATAGGCTCTAGGCGTGTGTAAAAATCAAAAAATCATACATTTTTCAGTTTTTAAGCCTAATTTTTATAATTTTTTGGTGATCCTATATTTTGAGAAAATATATTCGCGGAAAATTTTTTTTTTACTTGGCGTCAATTCTATACCACGAATATTGATATAGTACAATTGAATGTTATGTTACGTAGTGATGCTCGCATCAATCTGTCGGTGCACATTTTTCGGCAAAGAAATGCTGAGCGTGTCATTTATATTTTTCTAACTATTCTTGTTTCTCAAGGTCCAGCTGGAGTACTTCGAAAATTGTCTTCCATAACTTGTTTGGCGATTGGTTGCGTTGATGTAGAGCTGTTTTCTAACTTTGCACGAGTCTGTTTCTCCGAATATTTACCGTCTCAACCATATGTCGCGTAGTTAGAAATTCTGCGCACACAATAAAAACCTGAGCTCATTTTTGCTGCGGTTCAAAATGAGCTAATGCTAAACGACATAAGAACGTAGCGCTACCTACTTGACTCATTTTTGCTGCGGATCAAAATGATTTACATAATCTATCGTTACAATGCTTGTGCTCTGTAGATCTCCGTTACCGTATTTCTGAACGTCTCACTTGTGTGCTTATAGATGTCTTCTGTATTATTATAATCGGCCAAGATGGCGTCATAGTCTTCCTGGTATTAATTAACATCTCGTTGGAACAAGATTACACCTATCTGAGGTCAGGTCTACGAATGCTTGATATTGAGCAAGAACGTCTCCGGTGGCGTTTGCGATTGGTAAAACTAAGTGAGCTTGGTTTCTGTTCAGTTCATGAATTCGTTTTCTTGCATTTTAAATTTGCTCTAGTAGTGATTTGCGCTCAGCGACAATAAGCTCAAAATCAGTCCTTGGTAGCGCGATTTAGCCACTAGATTCTTCAGTGAAGGTTAAATCATGATCTTCAGCGTGTTGTTGGTTGGGGGTCGATGTCAACCTAGTGAGGATGATTTCTGATAATTCAGAGAATCGAGTTGATGTTGTTGCGTTTAAGAAGTCCATAGCGCTAATCTGTAAACAAAAATTAATAACTAATTCGCGACCTAAGGCCCATTTTCGCAAGTTTCAAATCATTTACATGGTATTTACCAATTATTTTATCATGTATATCGCCGATAATGAACACCATGAGCGATAATCTTTCTATAACAACCATTGGACCATTGGTGCAAGATTAGAACTAAAATTACGCGCGGCGTTAGGAAAAGTATTATTTGGATGAAATACTACACGAAAAAAATTTTGGTGCGTTAGACACACTCTCTGTAGCACAGCGCATGTACTAGTACTTTAGTTCAGCTGCACGGAGAGAAAAGTCGTGCCTTTTTCGCGTGATATCATTTCATGCTTCTTTCGGTAGTAGCTTCTGTTAGGAATGGAGGTTGATTTCATACGTTTCTTGCATTACATTTTTCATGGGAAATAACCATGATAAACATGCTCTTTTTCGTAAAACGTAATGGTTTAAGAGGGTAATGTTACGCGAAAATCCTATGAAAAAGTTCATGGTACAAATGCAGAACTGTCACCCGTTTTCCCGGTGAAACTCATGCGATGAGCGATCAGGCCACGCCTACCGGTTCATACCGGCTATGGAAGGATATATTTTGATTTTCATTTAAGGGAAATCGTTATAAAATCGGTCTTTCACAATCAATGTAGTTAGTGCGAAGTAAGTTTGTTTGATAATTTCAAATGATTGCAATAATACAAATCGCGTGAAATAAATTTATTTTCATTTTAGGAATTTAACAATTTTAAGAAAAGTGTATTGAACCTTATCAATAATTTATACTTATATATATTTTTTACATGACATAAAAATACTTTATTAAATACTAAAGTGTACTTTTGAAATCTACATCTTTCAAAATGTGTGTGTGTGTTTATGTGTGTACAATATATATGTAAATATATGAAATACAAACAAATTTAAAATATTTACCTGTTTTATTTTAATAGAATTTATTATTTCATTACCAAACAAGATTTTATGCATTTTTATTTCATTATTAATTATTTTATTACTTTATTTTTAGTTCTTCATATTTCATATGAAATTAATTTAATTTAATTCAAACTCAATTAGTATTATATTATATTACTTTACTTATTTAATTTAAATAAATATTTTTAAAAAATTTACATTAATAAAATTAAATAATAAAGCATAATTCTATTTAAAGAAAATTAATAATATTACGTCCATCGATCATACATAATAATTTCCAAAACAAGGGTAGGCGTGGCCTATTCGCTCAATGCAAGAATATCACCGGAAAAAACCGTGACTGTGCTGCGTTTGTACTGTGAAAATTTCCCTACGAATTGCGCGTCAACAACATGTGTGTAAACCATACTTTTCTAGAAAAACAGCATGTTTTTCCTGGTTATATTGCATGAAAAGTATCATAGTGAAAGGGCATAATCCTCTCGTCATATTACATGACACTCATGCATTTATCGTATGGAAAATATCATCCGTTATATGCATGAGATTTCATGGGGCAAAGGCTCGACTTTTCTCTCCGTGTGAGCTCCCAACTATAGGAGCTCAGACGCCCCAAGTGAATGGAAATCTCTTGTCCCATACATGCAGCACGCCTACAGTACTAGAAATATGTCAAAATATATCCCTTTTTCCTTCAGCAATAAGTAAAATTATTCGTAAAAGATTATTAGTTAAAAATTAACTAAATCAATACTAAAATTCCACTAATTTAATTAGTTAACAAGAGTTACAATAAAATTTTAGTTATTTGACATAACCTAAAAGTGAATTTAACATTTAATTAGTTATTTTCAACTAAAAAATTAGTAGATATCTTAATTATTTAAATCAGTAACTCACTTTTTGCTTTCAAATTAATTATTTTTTACTTATTCAAGTGTAGAGATTACATTTTAAATTAGAGTTTTTTTTAATTTATGAAAAAAC